CCTAAATCTTGATCATCTATTAATTATCAAAGTTGTATATCGAGCAGAAATGAGAAACTTTTGATTGGTTCCAGCTTCTCAAATGTGAGGATTTGCTGCTTGTCTTTGATTTGTGTCATTATTAACTGAGTACCTTTAGGTTTTTGGACTGTTGGTCAGAAAAAGTAAGCAATTTTTGACATTTTATACACTAAACCACTGATCAGTTAATTGAAAGAATATGACAGGTCAAATGATAATAGAAAAAAAAGAAATAGAATTAATAGAGAATACTGAGCCGTTGTGTGGTACAGTCAGTGCAGACTCCCCTGGTGTTCCTGTTCATTAAGAGAACTTTCACAGTGAAGTTAAGGTTCTACGCAACTGATAGAAACTTGATTGTCCACGGTAGCTATCTTCCTATTTATTGATTTCACCTCAGTAGCACTACCTTCTTCTTCGTGTCCCTGGTGTTTCCGAGAAATTCAAACCAACAAGAATCCTCCACCGACCTGGGTCAGGCTTAAATCCAGCAGGGTCGGGGATTTAGGTCGGATTTATGTGCATCTTTGAGCAGAAACATTGTTCCTGGGATTCCCCCAAAACTCAGTGGAGGAGCCCCCCCACTGAGTGGTGAGTGATAATCCCTGCTGGCCCCCACATTCAGACCTGGATGCTACAGAGGGCTTTGGATTCTAGATGCTCTTAGTCCTCTGGGTAAAGCAAGAATGTTGATCCCTGCAGAGAGGGAACGTGTTCTCGGGCATTCAACTTCAAAGGTAGAACATTAGAAACATTTATCAGGAATAAATAATCTGCTTCCAGTTTCTCAAATCTTTTTTTTTGTTAATATTGTAAATTGAGAACCTGTGGGTTTCAGACATTTGGTCCAAGCAATCAAGAGGTGTCACCTTGGATTTTGGGTAATATGGTAAATGCAGTGTTGAAAAGAAGAACTTTCTAGACCTTCTAGACCTTTGTCACAAGTTCTTCTGACACCGAAGGTCTAGAGAGATCGAACCGTTAGGATGATCAATACATTTTGATGCTGCTCAAGGGCAGTGTGTGGGATATTCTTCTTTTTAAGACTGAAGTGACACTTACCAACACACCTTCACGTAATACATTTGGATCTGCAAAATCTACAGTACAAATAAAGTACAGTGAGAAAAGGCTGAACATCTTTTTGGTTCAAAGGAAAGGATGACACACTTTCTTAATTGACAGTGATGACCTCTTCTTCCAGAGAAGAGAGGACTCACCAAAGGTTGTCCAATGAGTTTTTTGAAGAAAATCTCATTTGATACTTTCCAGGATAATGAAAGTCCAGTTTATCTCCTACTTCCAGTAGGGGCTGCTGAAGTGCATTTGCAGCCTCATATGACAGTAACTGTAAGGAATCCCTCATAGGATACAGATTTAAGTATTTCGAAAGCAGCGTGTAAGAACCTTGGGCCGAGATGAGTTTTCAGCATCGAATACGGGCATCCAACGTTTTTTCCTTTGATGAAGCAACATGTAGTCACATCTCGGCTTCACTGATCTAAAAACTTACAAATGAAATCATCATCATCTTCTCTCAAGATGAATTTGTTGGCAGATTTTGCATTTCTCTATAAATATTCTAGAAACATGGCACCTTTGTTGCACCGAGAGAGTCATTTAACTGCCTAAAATGTAGATACAAGAGATGATGGAACTAACTGACAGTGAAGTATCTTGATTGTTCTAAAGTTGATGCCATCTGGTGTCAGGAAGGGAAGAAAGAAAATGCTTCTATTCTCCAGCTGAAAGTGTCAATGCAAGTCATAGTGCCTGAGCTTTACAAGGCAGGAGTGCGGTTTTATGAATTTTAAACTGGAGTCAACGACAGCTGACATGTTGACTTGTGTGTTTCAGCTACAAACACCAGCATACGAGGTTAACCTTTCATGGTGGATGAATCTAATCTTGAATTGACATTTAGATTAAGGGAAAGCATATACAGTATACTGTATATGTAATTCTTCATCCTGAAGCATTATAACTCTCTGCACCTTCTTACCGACAGCTCATCCTGAGTTTGGTTGTCTTTCCATCTTTGCCTTTTTCAACCCCCGCCGGTTCCCAGCCCCCTCGGGAGCGGACTACCACGCCCCCCTTTTGTCCTGCTGAATGCCCCGAACGCTGAGTCTTTTAGCAGGGAAGTTGGGCTGAGAAAGACACTGAGTTTTTTCCCCTCAGGTCTATTGTTGTCACGGCCCTGCAGAGGCCTGAGAGGGCCTATCTGCCTCTGGACGCTGATTTACATCACTGAATTGTTTGTCTCCAGGGAACTTATTTCAGAACAATTATTCTGACGACTCCGCGTCTTCCCCAAATGTAGAAAATTCCCAGACTGGGAAAACAGTTTCTTTATGGACTTGGCTTTGTGCATGTCACGTTATATCATATTGGAGGATTTCCTGTATTGGAACTAAGGGGCCTAGCTAAAACCTCAGACCAAAATAGCCTACAAACACAAATACATGGGATTGCCACATACATTTAGTCATATATTGAATTTAATGTCCTTTACTGAAGTAATAAAACAACACTTATGGATCTCCCAAGCAAAATAATTGAAACAATGAGCTCTTGACTTCAAGCATCGGAAGGATCTTGCAAGCAACTTTAAAATGTGACTCCGATGCAAAAACTGGCACAAAGACTGTATTCATGTGTCATATTGTTTGACATGATTCTTTGGTCAGTTTGAGTTATTCACTGTACTTTTGTGCCGCTTTGTTTCATTCACTGCTAAGATACTGAATAGAAGGGACAGAATAAACCTTTCTAAAATAGAAAATGTTGTGCATGACAGTGCAGAGTTTTATGTCTTTCACATCAACGGAAGAAAAAAAAAAATGACACAGCTGCAGCGCTTTGACACAGCATGAAACTTCTCCTGAAAGAGATAAAGGTAGAGAAGGAGCAATTTTATTCAACAAGTTGGACAGGCAACTGTGTGAGAAAGAAGAAAAATCAAAAGAAAGAGCAGCAGAATGGTTGTTGAAATCCCAGAAGCAGAGTCTGTGCAGAAAGAGGAAACGATAGAGATAGAAAACAGGGGGGGCAAAGAAAGGCAGGAGGCAGAGGGCAGCTTCCTGACACCACTCGGCTTTGTACCGCTGCAGCCCCGGCCGTATGCAAATGCAGGTTATGCTAATGAGCTCTTCTCTGCGGCCGGTGGCAGTTAAAGGGCGCCATTGAAATCTCTCAGTCAAGATCTGGTGTTGAATTGGCCTCCCTTCATCTCAGCGGCTCAAATGGGCCATCAACGGGCTATCAGGGGGACGGCGCTGAATAAAGGGGGCATTACAGCGGGTATGAAAGCACCCTCTTATTCTGAGTCCCCCCTTACGCCCACTGAGGTTACAGGGTGAGAGGGGTCTTCTGTAAGTAATAATGGTATCTCAATGCCAAGTGTTTTTTTGGGGGGGTTTGGGGGTTTGATTTGTTGCTGGCTGCTGCTGTCATACACATCTTCTGTCTCTGAGTGCACAGTTGTGAATGAGTGGTATGCAGTTTGCTGTATAACATGCGTGCACATGTGCGTGGACATTTAAAAGGGATGGAAGTGATGGTGATTGGCTCCGGACGTCATGTGCAGTTTTTTATGCGGATATTTAGCCTCTTTTGGCTCAGAGTTTTGGTGTGAAAAACATATTTAATGTATCAATCTACGTCGTTTTCAGTGTTTCCAGCAGCCGCAGCTGTTTCAGCAAACAAGATAAACTGAATGTACGCTACCTGCCCACTACCAAAACAACAGTTATAGACCTTTTCCTCTGCATGGTACCTGCTCAGCTCGTCTTTTTTTGTTTTTCCATCAAGCAAAACTGGACAGCACCTGTTTTTTTTTTGTTTTTTGGCATCACCTCCGCTGAGGTTTCAAGTGAGCTTAGGTAATACCAAAAGGTGACATGAAAACACTGCAGACTGCTGATTGGTAAGAGAGAATCATCACTATTGCTTCATTGTTGTGCAAAACGGGACATCGTGAACAAACCCCCCATTTTTTTTAAAGGTCCCATATTTTCCTCTTCTTCTGTGTTTTATTTGCAGTGTTGATCCTTAAGAAGATATATTGGTAGTTTTAAGAACCAAAAACCATCTCAGTGTAGTTTTACATCTCTCTCTGGCTTCTCTCTGGAGCTCTTGTATCAACAGGTCGGTGAGCCAATCAGAAGAGAGGAGGCTCTGAGCCCCCTTTTCTCATAGAACACAATCGTCAATAAAGAATTTCTTACAAGCCCTTTCATCACAGTGAAACAGCCTAAATAACATCATGTTCAGTGCTATAAACCTGCACTCAAACAGCAACCAGTCAGAGTCCAAAATCAATCACCACAGCTGTGAAAAAAATTACACCTACGTCAAACACTGTTGGATGATGGGATTACATAGCGTATGGCATGCTAGATTGTCAATACTGTTGTAATAGTGTTGTGAGAGCAGCAGTCCTCATTGGCAGGACTGAACTGCAGAGGGACATTAATAGAAATGTCCCGTGGAGCTGAAGCGTCCTGTCGATACAGAGTGAAATGAGAGCAGAGCAATGCTGGTTGCTTTCAGATTAGGCTCTGATCCTCTCTTTGGCTGACTGTTTTCTGAGTGATTGAATAAAGATTTCAGGTAAACACTCAAGGAAACCAAATCCTGCAAGGTTGGCTGGGGGGTCCAGGTGGGCGGGGCTTTGGGCCTGGCTGAGAGCGGTGACATCACAAAGTTACAGAAGTCCTGACGGCTGGTTTTAAGGCTCAGTTTCTGAATACAGGCTGTGTGCATTTCTCTGTGGACTGAGGCTTTGATACTTTCACAGTATTAATACAGAACCTAGACCTGATCTATAATCAAACTACACATGGACATCTACCTTTAGACTATATGGAGCTTTAAATATCTTGTGTGGCAATTTCAGATGTGAATGAATTTTTTCACGTTTTCACCAAATGGCCTCATCTTTTTCCTAAATCCCCATCCTCCCCGTCTGCCTCCAGATGCCTGACCAGTTCGACCAGACGGTGGTTCTGAACCAGCTCAGATACTCCGGTATGTTGGAGACGGTCAAGATTCGGCGCACCGGCTTCCCCGTCCGTAGACCGTTCCAGGACTTCTGCTCCAGGTTTGTCTCAGCTCACATTTTTAATTTTTTTTCTCTGACAGATAATGACAGCTATGTCCATACTACTCTGTTGGGTTACCCTTGGCACTCAACCTTAGCGGCACTGGATCATAACCTTTCACTTCCCCCACCCTCTTCTTCAGGTACAAGGTGCTAATGCGGGGTGTGTTGACGCCGGATGATCCCAGGGGGCGCTGCGTCCAGCTGCTGCACCACTACGACAGTAGCAGTGCAGAGTGGCAGCTGGGAAAGACAAAGGTGAGCGACAGATGTTTTTATAACAATGTAAGAAGTTGTTTTGTCATCTTCATGTCTCTGTTGTTTTTGATGTTTGCTTCACAAATTTGGCCTTTGAGAACTAAACATTGAGGTCTTCAGGGGTCCCCTTGGTTCCTGACCCAGGGCCTCAGTCAGGCTGGGTCCTCATTATATTTAGTCTAATGGGGTTTGGCAAAGGTAAACAGATGTACATTAACACTAGAGTACTAATGGAGATGTACAGAAAGGGGAGGGATTGTATAACTGAATGCCAGAGGAAGGAATGACCTCCCGTGGCGTGAGTCTTTCTTCGCCTAATTCAAAATATATGTCAACAACAGAAAATCCCCTTTTCCTCAGAAACGACTTTTCCCACAGATTATTTGCATTTCCTGTCCATCAGCAGTGAAGTACATCCTCTCTGCTCAGGCCTCTGTAGTGTAATTGACTTTTTCCTGTCAAACCTTGAGCTCCTGAATGTCCCGTTGCTCCCTCTGCCTCTGGCTCGCACCGGCTGATCCGTATTCTCCTTGCTAACACGGAATATGATTGGATGCGGACTTACTTTGCCACCGGGGAATGCCAATCCATTTTGGCTGCTCGCCTCAAGCCTTAATTTGGCTTCATGCGTCTTACAAATCCAGCTCGATGAAACCATTCCAGAGCTGAGGTATCTGTGTGACTGCAGGCCGTGTGTGTGTGTGTGTGTGTGTGTGAGATCATGAATAATTGAGGTCCAGAGCACCTGAAGCGTGGAATCCGACAGTTATTGGATCCAGTCTTCATCCTCTCTGTGCTTCCACTACAACGGATCAGGAAGAATATACCTATTGCCAGCGTGTGTGTGTGTGTGTGTGTGTGTGTGTGTGCGTGTGTGTGTGTGTGTGTGTGTGTGTGTGTGCGTGTGTGTGTGTGTGTGTGTGTGTGTGTGTGCGTGTGTGTGTGTGTGTGTGTGTGTGTGTGTGCGTGTGTGTGTGTGTGTGTGTGTGTGTGTGTGAGAGAGATTTCTGTGGGGAAATGACAGATGGGCAACACAGATCCCCAATCACAGCATGACCGTGTGACGCTGCAGGAGGTGACAGCAGCGTGGAGACAGTGTGTGTGTGTGTGTGTGTGTGTGTGTGTGTGTGTGTGTGTGTGTGTGTGTGTGTGTGTGAACGGACAGATGAATGGTCAGTAGTGTGTGTATTTGTGTATCAATAGCACAAGAAACCGAATGAAGAGTCAGCACCACAGCACTCAGGTGGAACAAGCCTCAGCTGAATGATAAAATATCACAGAGAAGGAGATGAATGAGCATGTTTTCATTGCATTTGCAAAAAAACTGAATAAAATAGCAGGTATTTGAGTCATCAAAGGCAAAGGAAAAAGAAAATTGTCTGTGTATTGACAAAAAGAACACGTGCAACAAAGCCAACCAAACAAAGTGAGACTCTATTGAGAGTTTCTTTTACAGCCACTGTTCGAAAAAGATGAAAGTGCCTGCACACTGACTCCAAACCAAACGTTAAGGCAGGTACACCAAAGATGACCAACGTGAAATCAAACATGGCGTTGTCTTTGGTTGTGGCTCCAAAACAGCTGTCCTTCATCAAACGCACTACAAATGCACGGCCACAGGGCAGCAATGAAATGCCACTGTTTACAATGGCCCTGTCTTCTTGTCACAGACTCCTGTGATGGAAACACATGCTGTAGTTACTGGTTTGCGTTTTCACTCGCAGAGTTTTCCTGAAACAGGCTTTAAAACGTCCAGCGTGGCCACCTGGGTGTGTGTGTGTCTCATCACCTGAAAGCCCTCTGCAGAGCCTCTAACCCTGGCTGTGTCACCACCACTGAACCATAAAGCCGCTCCTGCTGCTGTGACTGCCTGTAAACCAGTAAATCAATTCTATCTCCCTCACTGGGACCCGCTCGCTTTGTCCCGCTGCCTCTGGCACTGAGATTTACATCGAGCCGTCCTCCAGCTCCTTTCAGTCGGCACATGTCCTGACTATTGTCTGGGACTTGTTTTTGAGGTTTTTTTTTACAGCCTCAAACTTAATTTCCTGGAAGTGATGTGGCTCTGCTCGCATCTCCCATGGTTCTGTTCTCTCCACGGGCCTGACCTGTCACAGCGAGCGACGCTCCCTGAAGGCCCCAGCAGCCGGAATCAAAAGTGCACCGAGGCTTAGCGAGACTTTTGTTGCGCTAATTAGCATAGTAATGATTAAAAGGGATTAGTTGTTCAAATCGTTGGCATGCAAATGTGTGCACTCGCACACGAGGCCGCAACTTTTGCGCATGTGTGATTCATGTTCGAAGTTGTTTGGTGAAGGGAGGGAGTGTGTTGTGTGTTTGTGTGTGTATGTATGTGTGTGTGTCTCACTTCGTGCCTGTGTGACGTCTTTCATGAGTGTTTACTGGTCCCCGCAAGGCCAACCTGTGGTTTTGTAAGTACACTTCAATAAGTGTGTGTGTGCATGTGTGTGTGTGTGTGTGTGTGCTTATATGTGTGAAGTGCAGTTGCAGAACTTGACAAAGTACATTCACTCATCATGATGAGTTTGGATAGCAGCAACAAGCACAGATAAACTCTCAGCGCTCTGCTCTAAACCTCTCATTTTTTTCTTTCTTGAAAAAATAAAAATGTTATTTCTTAACCTCCTCAACTCACAGAGAGTCAGAGAGCCGAACTCATAATGCACAGCTTAACATTCTTTAAACCCACAGAACATGATTTTAAATTCCAGTGGGTTTGAACATTACACATATTACGCTACATTTTGTGGGGGGGGGGTTCTGGTCCTGAGTTCTGGTTTGACCAGTAACTAATGGTGGCTAACATTAGCTCATTTTAGTGGATATTGCTGCATAACTGACTTTACTGAGTGAGTTCCGTGATTTTATGACTCCTCTCCACTTGCGCTGCATTTTAGCATTCACCTTTATCCTGTAATTGAAATCACATGGTCCCACCAAAGCACATTTTTCTTATAATAGCCTACTTCTGTATCTTTATTCAAAAAGTTACTTACATTTATAAAAAAGAGGACTGCTATTAGTAATAATGAATATTTACATGGTGGTTCTACTTACTACTTACTTTGAGTGCTCTCACTGCTGGTCAATAGGTTACTATACTTTTTACATAAATAAGGGAATAATCAAGCTGCTCACCTAAAAGACTTTCATCAGTCTAGTGTCAGAGGTTTAATCTGTTGCTTTAAATGTTGGAAATGCAGCTGAATTCAGGGGGAGACACTGGTGGTTTTGTGTGTTTTGTCTTTGTGTATTTATTTGTGTGAGTGTGTGTGTGTGTGTGTGTGTGTGTGTAGGTGCACGTGCTCGGGCATGTACTGCATGTTTCCCTGTTAATTAACCTCCTCGTCAGAGATGTCCAAATCACCCCGACGAGTTTACAGTTCCCCCTGAAAATCTCATTAGTGCTTCACCGCTGAGGATTCACAATACACACACACACACACACACACACACACATACACACATACACGCACACACGGTACATTATTCAACAGTAGAAAGGCAATCTCTACTCCTGTACCCCCGTAGCACTGTGACATTTCCCCACCGTTTCTGTCGCCCGAGTCCACGTCCCATATCTAATTTTCCTCCCTCCCTAATCGGATTAACCCCCGGCGTCCCTCAGTGGGCCCAGTTTCTCTATCAATGGGCGGCAGCTTGGCTCCTGTAGCGGGCAGCTGCACTAAGTGCCTGTAAGATGGGTCTTTTCACGGAGAGATGTCTCTGAAATCAGCGGCTGCAGTAATCTGCGGTGTTTAGCGGCGTGAACAAAAGCAGAGGAGGATCTGGATTTGATTTGTGTCGGCTGCTTTGTTCCCTTCATTTGTTCCTCTGTCTGTTAAATGGTGATGTTACAGAAAAAGGAGCCAGGGCCGTGTGTCTCTTTAATTCTGTTCACTTGTGAATCTTTTATTCATAATGTGTGTCTAATATAGCGGATGTAATGAATGCTCCATGTTAAGCAGTGGCTGCAGGAGTTGAGTGTATTCTACTGTGTTCTTCTGTTTTGAGTAGAGTGCATCTATTTTTCAATTTAATTAAGAATATTGTTACAACTCTGGTTCATTTTTTTTTTTTTTTTTTTTTAAGTATATTTTTTGGGCTTTTTATGCCTTTATTGGATAGCACAGTAGAGAGAGACAGGAAATGGGGAGGCAGAGAGAGGGGGAATGACATGCAGTAAAGGGCCGTCCGATGCGGGATTCAAACCGGGGCCGACTGCAGCGAGGACTGTAGCCTCTACATATGGGGCGCCTGCTCAACCCACTGCGTTACTCGACGCCCCCTCTGGTTCATTTTTAAAAGTCAAAATTGATGAAAATACATTTGACGATATCAATGAGAATGAGAATACCAATACATTTCAAATGAGTTCAAAAGCCAAGCTAAAAATAATAACAAATATGTCTTTATCTGAGAGGGACAATGTATGTTAATGAACCTCAGTACAAAATACACAATGTAAACATGCTGGATTGTAGCAGAAATGCTGAGTTTGAGATATATCTTAAAGGTGTGCTACGCAGGACATCATTCCCTTACTGAATCAGAATCAGGCCAGGTGAAGCAGCTTTTTAGTTCCTATGCTCCTCACCTGTGGAACGAGCTTCCTGAACAGCTGAGACCTGCTGAGACTGTCAGCTCATTTAAATCAGGGCTTAAAACATCACTGTTGCACCGCCGCAGTTTAAACCACACACACACAACGTCTGTTTAATCTTGTTTTAAAGGCTATTTTAATGTCATTTAAATGTTGTATTTTTACTGTATTTCCACGCCTCTGTAAAGCACTTTGACTTTGTGTCTGAATGGTGCTGGTAGAAATAACCTTGCCTTACTGCAGGTGGTGTAGGCCATCCCAATATTTACTTCCCTTCACTGACAGCAGAGTTTTGGTGCAGCTCACAGCTCCCTCTAGTGGCCGCCCGAGAGCCACAGTCAGCCCTCTGTTCAATGAATTCATGAATAAACCTCATAAATAAAACAAGCGTGTTTAAAATGTTCAAAACTTAGTAGATTAAATTACATATATTATATAAATATGAGAAGTAATGGTTCAAACAAAGGTTTTAAACATTTCAGTGACCACTACTGTACAGTAACCTGATGCTTCACATGAGAGTCACTTTATACAGAAGCATTATAGCTGACTTTTTTTTCTTTATCTCTGACCCATTACTCCTCTGTCCTGCAGCCTTCCTGTCTGTTGAGATGCTTTTAAGACGCCACTGGAGAAACTCACAGTCTCAATTGCCGATTAATCAATTAGTCAATCAGCTAGTTTGGGTCTTTTATCAAGATTAAACTACCAGACACTCTCTGGTTTCAGCTTGACAATATGGAGATTTGCAGCTTTTCTCTCTTTTTCTTTCATTGTGAGTTGTATTATATTTGGGTTCATGGTCAGGCAAGCTCATCAAGTGTCTCCTCAGGCTTTGACGAGCTGCACTTTACCTTTTCAACCTTTAGCATGTCTTTTAGAAACTGTATTTGAGACTCGTGAAATGTTTGAAATTATTCACATATTTTATGCAAAACATTGTCGTGACATGTTGCTTAACTCATAAACATCCAAGTAAACTTTAAATCCAGCCTAAATCTAAATGAAAAGAAGGAACTGGATTGTATTTCGCCTCTTCTTTTTTCTACGCCTGCCCTTTTTTAGCCGTCAGTGAAATTTTATCTTTAACCCTGGACGGTTTATCAGACTATCGAGAGTGATAGAAAAAAAATGAAGACATGTCCTCCTTTATCTCCTGCCCTCTTCACCTCTCCTCCTCTCCTCCTTTCTCAGGTCTTTCTTCGGGAGTCTCTGGAGCATCGCCTGGAGAAGCAGAGGGAGGTGGAGGTGCTGAAAGCAGCCATGGTCATCCAGGCTCATGTGATGGGCTACATTGCCAGGTACGACTCAGTATTCAGACCTCAACTCGGCTCAACTCCAAAAGACCCACCTTTTCATTGACTGTGTTGTCTATTGATGCTGACCTACACACAGGAAGCAGTACAGGAAGCTGCTGCAGTGCATTGTGGTCATTCAGAAGAACTACCGGGCTTTCTACTGGAGGAGGAAGTTCCTGCTCCTCCGCTGGGCGGCGCTCACCTTCCAGAAACGCCTGCGAGGCCAGCTGGCCCGCCGGGCCTACAGCCAGCTGCTGGAGGAGAGGAGGAGGAGAAGGGAGGAGGAGGAGGAGCGGCGCAGGAGGGTGGAGGAAGAGACGGAGAGGTGGGCTAGTCACAAGTTAAAGTGGAAGATTTAAATTCTACCGATTGTTGCTCTGATTTCACGCTTTTTCCAGTTGGTGCTGTTGTGAATACTGACGGTGTTGTGTTAGAGGTCTGTTTAGCTGGGAAAACAAAACCCTCTGGCAATGATGCAACTTAACTCATTACATTTCTGGGTTGTGTGGAATGAGCACAACAAGTGGGACTGAACAGCGATAACCACCATGATTTATGATGCAAAGACGCCACCTACAGAAACACTGTCCACTGACAGAAAACCTGAGCAGGGCTGGGCTGTCGGCACAGCACAGAGAGACCAGGGATGAGTCCTAATTCCACCCCCCCCACCACCTCTTTATTTTTTCACTTCACATTTAAGACATCCATTCAAATGTTAAAGTACGTTTTCTGTCAATTTCCTCCTCACATTTAGACCATCTGTCTAAATAGCGATTCAAAGCCGACCCCCGAAAGACAGGACACAGTTGTGGTGGAGACACGTCTGAGTCTTTAAAGGCTCAGTGCCTCAATGGTATTTACAGCTCAGAGAGAAGGTGCTGCAGCACCCACGAAGTCTGACTGAAAGGTGATCTCTGGGAAATGTAGCGAGTGCAGTGACCAGCAACAAAGATGGAGGCTAAACACACAGAGAAAGAGCAGAGAAGATGTATAATGACCCTAATTAGCATACTAATACCAGCATACTTGTTTTTATAAAAGCTTGGTGTTGTAAAGCATCCACTGCTGTTTTGGCAGATAATGTGTATTTTCTGTCTGACCTTTACACCTGCTCTCTAAAAGGCTTTAATGGGGTTTTAATGCTATGATGAGACGGGAAATGTAATCGCTGTTGTTTTGGTAAATCCTATCTCTTACTGTCTGTTTCAAGCCACTGATGTTTGTCTGTCTGTGTCTGTGCAGAGAGAGGCGGAGGCTGGAGGCTGAGAGGCTTGCCAGAGAGGTATGATGATGAGTGGATTACTTCTACATTTTACTGATATTTCACTGATGACTTCTTTGCAGAGGAGCCCAGTCTCTATAAGCATATTTGGATAGATAATTGAATTTGTTTGTCTGATCATTTTTGGCTTTTGGTACCATGAGTACGATCAGTGTTGTGCATATGACAGGAAAGTGGGAACACCACACTCCAAAAACAGTTTCCATGAGGTGGTTTTCCAATTTTTGTCTTCTTTCCATCCCCAGGCAGAGGAGAGCAGAAGACTGGAGGAGCTGCACTGTGCCGAGGAGTTGGCCTCCCTGCTTTTGGCTGAGTCTCAGTCGGCGGTGGCGGTTGCAGCACCGCCAGACGTCCTGGAGGAGCTGGAGTCAGCAGAGGTTTTGGAGGAGGCGATTCGTCCTCATGAAGCATCTCAGGTGGAGGAGATCTTACGACTGGAGCGGGAGATCCAGGCACTGCAGAGGCAGAAGGAGCGTCAGGAGCTCTCCTTGACCGAAGCCTCCCTCAACCGCCTGCAGCACCTCCGAGACCAGGAGCTCAGGCGGCTGGAGGACGAAGCCTGCAAGGCGGCGCAGCAGTTCCTGGACTCGCTGAACTTTGACGAGATCGATGAGTGCGTGAGGAACATTGAGAGCTCCTTGGGAGTCGGCGAAGGGGAGGAAAAGGAGAAGGAGAGCGGACGGAGGAGAGGCAACGATGAAGAGGAGGTTGACGAAGGTTTCGGGGCAGATGATGAGGCCTTCAAAGACTCTCCAAACCCTAGTGAACACGGCCACTCAGACGGCCAGCGGACCAGCGGGATCCGAACAAGCGACGACTCGTCTGAAGAAGACCCGTACGCCAACGACGGTGTGATCCCACCACTGCCGCCGACCACCCTGCTTCACCAGCCACTGCCTTTACCACCGGTGCCCCCGCCCTGCCACAGCGCCTCATCCAGCGGGGACTCGGCCTACTGCCATCCCCAGGCTTCATCCGAGGCTCAGTCTGATGACCTGGTGGAGCTCATACCGCCAGACGAGGACTCAGACTACGACCAGGACGACTACGATGAGGGTGCCATCGTGTCCAGTGGCAGTGTGGCATTCTCCAACCCCCGAAGCGGACAGTGGTCTCCTGACTACCGCGGCTCTGTAGGCACCTACAACAGCTCAGGGGCGTATCGCTTCAGCTCAGAGGGGGCTCAGTCTTCAGTGAGTATCCCCTGTCACTTTCAGCCATCGTGGTTGCTGTTCTCAGTGAGACAGCAGAGAGGCTTATGGGATACGGTGGACAATTTGGATAAATGTTTGATTAGATTTTGTCACCATTACCAAGTAGCTTAAGGTTGAAACAAAGCATTTGTCATTTAAGTTCTTGAGATCTTGAAAGACTAAGGCAGAATGCTTGACGCCTAAAAAGTAAGATCCAGTACAATTGTTGTTTTCCTCTTTAGTGGTGTTTTTTACACTTCAAACCCATCGGAGTCAGTTGGAAAAAAGAATCCATAGCCAAAATAGCTCTTTGAATATTCCACTGCTAAAAATGGATGCATTCAGCCATACTAACAGTGTACGTCTTGAATGTCTAACCTCAATTACTTTTATTCCAGTTTGAGGACAGCGAGGACGACTTCGACAGGTTCGACACCGATGACGAACTGTCGTACCGGCGGGACTCTGTCTACAGCTGTGTCACACTCCCGTACTTCCACAGCTTCCTCTTCATCAAAGGTAACTCCTTCATCACAGTACTTACGCTTCTTTAAGAAAATCTGTGAAGGGTCACAGTCATCCCGGTCATGGTCATCCAAGAAAAGCTGAATCGAGGGCAACTGGACTCAGTTGTAGATACTTTAAGACCTTTTCACCTCTCACTCAAGAGGCTTTTTTAAGAAACTTAATGGGTGTCTGTAAAAGCAGTCATCTATAAGGTTAGTTTTTAAATGACCTCCAACCAGGAACCCTTACAGGGTAAGTATCACAGTATTACCCTGATTGATAGGTACTTTCTCTATTTCCATCTTTGTTTTTACTTTCCCAGCACATCTTAAGAGATCTTTGACGATGGAAACGATAGTATTAGGAAGGTCGCCATTGTGCAAATATTTCAAAAATATCCTCTTATGCGTGTGCCTTTATGTATGTTCAGTTAGAAAGTCAGAACCTTTGTGAATACAGTGTCTACAGTGCCATCTCCATGAGTGGGGCTATACACTGTCCCTGTCTTGAGTCTGAGAGCTGCAGACTTTTTCACAATGGCACCTTTTGCCCTAAGAAGGCTCTGTAACAACACATATAACCCTTAGTGGCACAGTATAGTTTTTCTCTAATAAAATGTATAGTCATACTTGGTTTCTTCCTCTGTTTTCCATTGTCACATCAAGTGTTGCCCTCTAGGTGATTTAATGCATCAAACAGACTTTGAAATCTAATCTATCTACAGTCACAGCCCTCCTCCTTCAGAGATGTCGCAGTAGAGCGTGAAACACCTCTCACATTTTCCTTCTCCAGGCGGTCTGATGAACACGTGGAAGCGGCGCTGGTGCGTTCTGAAGGACGAGACCTTCTTGTGGTTCCGTGCCAAGCAGGAGGCTCTGAAGCAGGGCTGGCTGCACAAGAAGGGAGGCGGCTCGTCCACGCTGTCCCGCCGAAACTGGAAACGCCGCTGGTTCGTGCTGCGGCAGAGCAAGCTCATGTACTTCGAGAACGACAGCGAGGAGAAGATGAAGGGGGTGCTTGACATGCACACTGCCAAGTAAGGACTAAAAAGACTACCTCAAAAAAGCTTTTATTATGATGTCATCGGTGATGGGGGTGGAGTCAGCTGTGCAACAGTAGTTATATTTCCAAACCAGAAGAGGGTGTCTTAACTCTATAAGCAGTTGTAACTCCTAAATACAGCATTTACAACACTTACTAATAAACTATTAATGGAATTCTCTTTATATAATATAGTATTTACTTACTACACTATGACACTTTTATGACTTACTATAATATGACAAACCAAGTAATATATTCAGAGTTCATTTGGTGTTTTCTTTTTTTGTGATGTGCAGAGAAATCATCGATAACACCGGTAAGGAGAATGGAATCGACATTGTGATGCCAGAGAGGACCTACCATCTGATCGCAGAGTCTGCTGAGGACGCCAGGTCAGTTGTGCGTGCGTGTGTGTGTGTGTGTGTGTGTCTGTTTCTCCACACACTTACCAAACATGTCCTCAAACAGATATTAGAATTGAAATTAGAACCCCAGAGAACTAGAGCAAAGACAGTGTGGTCATAGTGGTCACGATGTCAGAGTAGAAACCCAAAGCGATGGCTTAAAGCAGTGAAATCACAATCGTGTCATAATATTATGATTATTATTAAATGAAATCAGTACATCGTTACTGCAGCGTTAATGCTGTACTCAATGTTCTGCTACTGGTTTCTGTCCTTTCTGGTCCTGTTATTTCCTTGTTTGGTATGAACACACACACTCACAAATTCTCAGTCACAGACAGTATAATGAGAAGGTATTGTCACTAGGGGGGTCGGTGTGCCGGTTGCCCCCGGCAACACATTGATTTCCTCTCAGAGGGACAGTCCACTTCCTCCATATATCTGCCCTGACAGGAAGATGGTGTGTGCGTGTGTGTGTGTGTGTGTGCGTGTGTGCGTGCGTGCGTGCGTGCGTGTGCGTGTGTGTGTTGGCAGCAGGTTTACAGTGCCAGCCTCTCTCTCAGTGTGAGCCAACATCAGCTCCATATGTTTGTGACAGTCATTCAGAACACAGAACTACCTTCATTTCTCCCTCATATATACACACAGATCTCCATACACATACACATACACATACACACACACACACACACAGAGTATATAGACAGTTGAAAGGGATGCATGAGTACCACATTCTCCAAAAAGTTCATATTTCGACTAGAATTTTTTCTCAAAAGCAAATGTCTAAATTTTCCTCTGGGTGTGTTAGTTTTATGTGTTTGGCATGTGTCTGCTTCCAAACAAAAAGAAGTCAGGCTTAAAGTACAAAATAGTTTGTGTCAAAGTCTATAGGAGATAATTTGATATGTGATGATTGGTTGTTGCGATTGCTGTAATATCATGATGATGATCATGTGGATGTTGTCGTCATGGTTACAGCCAGTGGTTCAGTGTGCTGAGTCAGGTCCACGGCTCCACAGAGCAGGAGATCAGAGAGATGCACGATGAGCAGGCCAACCCCCAGAACGCCGTGGTGAGTACCGTGGGAAATCAAAGCGCTGAAGTGTCGTCGTACTGAATGCAGTGCTGGGTGTTTTTAGGCAGAAAAATACTTTTTTTTACATTTAATTTGGTGCTAAAAACTTACTTCAGGTTAGACTGTCAAACAATGTCTTAACAGCAAGAAGATAAAGTTCAACTACAAGGTCATTCAGAAAGCACAGACCTCTGCCAAGTCCAGTGTCAAACAATATACACCAGACTTCAGAGAAAAAAATCTAATTCATAGTAAATGATCCGGATCTGCATCAAAATTTAATGAGTTCGTCCCTGGCTCGTGACCCATCCCTCCACCAAGTTCAGTAAATCGGATCAGTAGTTTACGTGCCTCCATCTGCAGGTTTCTACCTGAGTCAGCGTGTCACTTTGTCTTTTCCTGTGTGTTTCAACTCTCAAAACCCCCAAAAACATAGTTACTGGTAACGCTTGTTCCATTTTAAGACTTTTTACAGATCACAAGGACGGAACGCATCAAACACATTTAGTATTACGCATCCAAAAACATCCTAAACATCTTCACATGTTCATTATACAGGGTGGATATGGATAAACTCCCCCGACGTAAGAGCCGGTAGTCCTTTCTGTCCTGTTGTCATCCTTTGTTTAAACTGACAGGACACATGGAAAATGCCACGTCCTTTTTTTTTTTCACTGTTCTACCTGTGAGTGAAGGTCTTGCTGTTTATAATCCTGTGTGTGTGCGTGCGTGCGTCTGTGCGTGCATCTGTGTGTGTGTGTGTATGTGTGTGTGTGTGAGAGAGATAATTGGTTTCCACGTGGGGCAGAGGAAGGTCAAACTCATTATCCACACCCTGACGAACACCTTCTCCTCCTCTCTCCCTCTGTCTCTTCAGGGAACGTTGGATGTGGGGATGATCGATTCGGTTTGTGCGTCAGATAATCCAGAGAGGTGAGAGGATCTGCATCAAACGTCACGTCTCTTCATTCTCTTAGTGCAGACCTGCACTGGTTCTCACACTCAGGTTCACACACTTGAACAAAGTGAAGTGTCAGATAGAAGTTAACAGTCTTCATTGACCTGCTGGACGTCTCTACATATATTCACATTAGGTTTAATAACCCTACATATTTGCAAAAGCTCATTTGTGTCTTCTTCTGTGGTGTCTCTGCTGCTGCAGTCACTTACAATTATGATTTTTAATTTCCATAAAGTTAGTGGTAAAATGAACAGCAAAATGCAGCTAGTGGCCATTTTTTTTCTTATTTTCAAGTCAGCCACCGGCGCATGTTTAAAACTCAAGCAATGTCTCAATAATATAAATAATGAATAATTCCTGCTTCATTACTTCAGGTTGAAGCCTCAGTCTGAGGTCACACAGTTCAGAGTCTATTCTGGTCAAAGTTTCATCCCTCTTCACTCGACCTGATGACTGATGATTTTACAGTAGCACTACAGCGTTTGATCCATCCTTCACTGTCTTCCTCTCACCGCCACTAACTGCCTTCCTGAACCTTTGCAGGCCGAACTCCTTCGTCATGATCACGGCGAACCGCGTGCTGCACTGCAACGCCGACACACCCGAGGAGATGCACCACTGGATCACTCTGCTGCAGCGCTCCAAGGGAGACACCCGCGTCGACGGCCAGGAGTTCATCATCCGAGGTGACAACGCAATCACTTAACGTCCCTCTTTACTGTCTGTGTCCTTTAAGGGCGGCTCAAGGGCTGGAGTCTCTCCCAGAATGCATTTAAGCAGAAAAATGCTGTAGAGCGACAACACCCACAGATATGAGCAATGTTAGAGGAACATTTTAAATTTTGTCGTGGATGCTGCTGATTCATTTTGACCATTTTTCCTTTTTAAACTTGTATTAATTTGACTTTTTCGCTTTTTTAAAACTTAAAAAAAAGCAGAAAAAGCAGAAAAACATCATTACTGAGTTTTCTGATGTAGTCTGATGAGGCAGCACAAATAATGTATTGCATGTGATTGCTTTATTTCCTTCAGGCTGGTTGCACAAAGAGATGAAGAACAGCACCAAAGCCTCGCTGAAACTGAAGAAGCGCTGGTTCCTCCTTACCCACAATTCCCTGGACTACTATAAGAGCTCAGAGCGTAACGCCCTGAAGCTGGGAACGCTGGTGCTGAACAGCCTCTGCTCGGTGGTTCAGCCGGACGAGAAGGTCTTCAAAGAGACGGGTAGGAAAAGGAAGGAGCGCTGGAGATTTGATTCGGTTAATCTGGTGAATGTGTTGAATCATTTTCTCTCTGCTCGCCGTCACTTCCCCGCAGGCTACTGGAACGTGATCGTGTACGGCCGCAAACACTCGTACCGCCTTTACTGCAAGCTGCTGAACGAGGCCACGCGTTGGGCCAACTCCATCCAGAACGTCATCGACACCAAAGCTCCCATCGACACGCCGACCCAGCAGCTCATCCAGGACATCAAGGTGAGAAATGTCTCTGGATAAAACTGATGGAGAAGCTGCAGAAGCTGCATCCATGTAGTTGTAGTTCCCGCCACAAGCTAAAAGAGGACGACACCAGGCAACGATTAATTAATGTATTTTATAAGATGTGGATTTTTTTAATGCATGTAAGGATCATTTTGAAGGCAGTCTGATTCAGTTTCATTCAGAAAATAGTTCAAGTGATCACGACAGCTGCAAAGAAACCCCGACTGAAGTCCTGTAAACTCACTCGTACCGTCAGTCCTTCCATATCCCCCCCAGTAAACCCTCAGATAACCAGCAGGGCGTGGTACTGACGTCACACTCCTCTGCTCTCTGCAGGAGAACTGTCTCAACTCTGAGGTGGTGGAGCAGATCTACAAGAGGAACCCCATCCTTCGCTACAGCCACCACCCGCTGCACTCGCCTCTGCTGCCGCTGCCCTACGGAGACATCCACGTCACCGGTGAGTCACACAGACAGGCAGGCGTGAGGGTGGAGGGGCGGTCAACATAGAAGATACTGATCTATCTCTGACTATTTATGCAAAGTTTTAGATTTGAGATTTCAGTTATATTCATTTTCATAGTGCCATCAGAGGACTCCAACTCTTGGGAAATTTGGGTTTTTAAAAGCCTTAATTCATGTTGTTGGTTAACCTAGGTTTAACTTAGACACCATAATAAGGGAGGACAGGTTTTACCAAAACAACAGGAATTGAATAAGATAGATGATGCAGATACAAACAATAAAGAATGTATTTCACAAGGTACATATTGTTCGCCACTAGCAAAGTGAAATTAAATTGACTGATTTTTCAAGCTACCTTGTTTAGCTGCACAGGCTGAAGCTTCAGGCCAAAACTCTTGATCACAATCCAGTGCTGAACACAGACCATGACTAACCTCTTCCTCTCTGCTCCGTTCAGCCCCGAGACACAGGAGCTACACGACGCTCCAGGACGAAGCCCTCAAGGTGTTCAGCTCTCTGCAGCACTTGGAGGGCGTGGCCGACCCGGTGCCCATCATCCAGGGCGTTCTGCAGACCGGCCAAGAGCTCAAACCGCTGCGGGACGAGCTCTACTGCCAGCTGATCAAGCAGACGACACGACCGCCGCAGCCGGGAAGCCCTGGGAACCTCTGCAGCTGGAAGATCCTGGCCTGCATGTCCTGCACCTTCGTCCCGACCAGGAGCATCCTCAGATACCTCAAGTTCCACTTGAAGAGGTACGAATAACCGCTTTTCTTTACATGTTAATCCACTGATTTTTCAATTCTGCTTAATGTTGGTTGAATCTTTGACATTGACCCGTTACAACTCACCCTCTCCGCAGGACTCGAGAGCTCTTCCCCGGCTCAGAGATGGATCGTTACGCCGCCTTCGCCGTCGACTCCTTGAGAAAGACTCGAGCCAGGGAGAACGTCCCGTCGCAGGAGGAGATCCGCTCCATCGTGGCACGGCAGGACATGAGCACCACCGTTCACTGCCACGGAGGAGGCTCCTGCAAGATCACCATCAACTCGCACACAACAGCCGGAGAGGTAGGGTGACACCGGGGCTGCTGGGACACAGGTGTGGAGGATAAGGTGCTTAGGACAGGGTGCGCTGTGGTTCAGCTGTTGTTTAAACTTTCTATGTGTCTGGAATGAACTGTCAAAATGCCCAAAAAACACCAGGATATTGTTGCACCAATGAAAACATGACGTGAGAGTCTTTCAAAAATGTTTATACAATTTGGACAAAAGTAATCATCTCGATCATTTTTGGAGGTCTTGGTGTTGAGATAGTTACTCACAGTTCTTGAAAGTATAATTCATAGCTAATCGTGACTGTGTGTTTGTGTCAGGTGGTGGAGAAGCTGATCCGCGGCCTGGCCATGGAGGACAGCAGGAACATGTTTGCTCTGTTTGAACACAACGACACCACAGAGAAAGCCATCGAGAGCCGCATGGTGGTCGCCGACGTGCTCGCCAAGTTTGAAAAGTAAGTGTCACGACGCCTCTGAGTGTGTGTGAGTGTGTGTTTCGGCCGTTGCTAACTCGTGCTCTGGTCTCCAGGTTTTCGGCGAGCCCAGACGAACACAACACGGGCTGGAAGTTTTACTTCAAGCTCTACTGCTTCCTGGACACAGACAACGTTCCCAAAGACAGCGTGGAGTTCGCCTTCATGTTCGAACAGGTAAGACGATGTTGAAACGTTTACACAGTCACTGTCCTGCTGTGCGCAGCTGTCAGACTGACAAATGATTCATCCAAGATAAACAGCTGATTTGCAATTAAAAACAGACAGAACATAAATGTTTGGGTTTGACTTAATGATTATTTTCATTATTGATTAATCTGCTCTTTATTTTCTCAATCATTTGGCCCCAAAATGTCAGAAACTAACGAGTCACAAAAAAACCTATTTTGTCTGACTAAAAGGCCCAATCCCAAAGATATTCGGTTTCTCTTGACAAACTACTTAAACAAACTTAAACAATCGAAACAGTGATGAGGCCTGGGTAGTGATCAGTTTTTTTATTTATATATTTTCATTTCTATTTTATTATTATTAAATGTATTTTTCTATTCCTTTTTTTCTATTTTCTATTATTTTTATTCCATCTTATTTTATTTTTTTATTTTAAAGGACAGATTCTATAACTTTATTGTTGTTATATTTACATCTGATCGCATTGTGACTATTTGTAGCAACAGTTCTTGTAGAGCAGCTTTGTGTTAAGACAAAATCAAACAATGATGCATTTAAGATGATTTTGTTGAAAGACATTTTAAATTCCTCAATACAAGGCACTGAAAGAATTACAGTTTTGGTATTGTACTAAAACATAGGTATAATATAATCACCAGTATTGAACTCTTTTAGAAAATTCCCAGCCTTAGTGGTGAGAAAACATTTTCTTCTGCCTAAAATCTCAGTTCATAATAAATCAGGTGTTTGGGAGTTGTTTGTCATGTCCTGTATTTTTAAAAGACAGTTTTATACATACAGTTTTGACAGAAAACTTTCTTACCTACTGACGCAGTTGTTCTTGACGTGGTCATCATCTTGTGTTTTCTGTTTGTGCTGTCCACAGGCCCATGAAGCTGTCATTCGTGGTCAGTATCCGGCCCCGGAGGAGACTCTTCAGTTCCTGGCGGCCCTGAGACTTCAGTACCTGCTGGGTGATCACAGCTCTCAGGTCAGCGTCCCTGAAATGTCCCAGGTGTTCCCTATGGCACGATTACGGGCCCGGGTGCAAAACTCGGCCAAGACGTTCGCTCCGGGCACCGGCTCGGTGGCCGACCGCTCAGGGACGGCGGAGAGGAAACGCTCGAGCTTCCTCGAGGGAACGCTGAGGCGGAGTTTCAGGAGTGGCTCGCTGAGTCGGCAGAAGCTGGATGAGGAGAACAGCCTGGAGGCCTGGATGAGGGAGGAGGCGTCCGCGGTGAGGACCAGCGTGATGGACAAGTGGAAGAAACTGCAGGGGATGAACCAGGAACAGGCCATGGTCAAATACATGGCGCTGGTGAAGGAGTGGCAGGGATACGGGTCCACGCTGTTCAATGTGGAGGTCAGTAATAAGAATAACATCCAGTTTTTTTATTTGTGGACTCACTTGTTGGTCCTTAAATTCTGTCAAATTTGACTTAATTACTTTGTAGTTCTTCTTTTTTTTCTTTAATCCATTGAATTTTCAGACAAACGATTGACATTTCAAGCATTTCAATATAAACTTTATTTATGAGAATATTTATTTTATTCATGTAGTGTAAACTATTTTACATCCCTAAGACACAATGAAGAGCATTTGGAATTCATTAGTTTTGAGAACTAAAAATTGATTAATCATTTAAATATAAAATACCAGAAAATACTAATAAACGGTTGCTGTTATAATTTCTCACGGACCAAGGTGACATCTTCAGATGTTTCGTTTTGTCCGACCAACAGTCCAAAACCTAAAGATGCTCTGTTTATTTACACCTACGACAAAGAGAAGCATCAAACCATCACATCTCAGAGGCTAGAAACAGTCTAAATGACTAACTTATTATCAGAATAGTTGCAGATAAATTTTTTGTCAGTCAACTAATGTTATTACTGTTACTTATTAGTTTTAAACTTTCAGTAAATTACAGAAAATAATTATAACATAACTGACAGTCATGGAGGCATCTGTCAATGAGATAAAGTTATTAAGTAGATGTGTACATAAATTCCTGAATGTATATACGTTATTGCAAAAGAAATGCTTACCATGAACAGTATTTAAACTGGGGTGAAAAAGAATGACAATTTTACGGATTACAGCTTTAAAATCATATTTTTGGCAATTTGAAAGTCTTTTCGTGTAGTTTTTGTGCGGCTTTGAGAAGTTTGGATCATTTTATTAAGTTTACAAATGGTGTTTTTGTAGTGTAGCAAAACAAACTGTATTTTTTGTTGTTTCAGTGTCGGGACGGATCGTTCCCCTATGAGCTGTGGTTGGGCGTGAGCCGGGAGGCCATATCAGTGTACAAACGAGGGGAGCCATGGCCCCTGGAGGTTTTCCCATATGAACAGATTCTCTCCTTCGGAGCCCCGCTGCCCAACGCCTACAAGATCGCCGTGGAGGGCCGAGAGCTGGTCTTCGAAACCCAAATGGTTCGTATAACAGAACAAATGCTCCTTCAGAACTGTTGGTTTCTTAATGTTGAAATAAATGATGTGATCACACAAATTTACTGAACCGCGGTGAACAAAGCCACAGTCTGAAATTTCACCGTCACTAAAAATCAAACAAACCACCAACATTTAATCTTGAAACCTCATGAATTGTGTAACTGCTCCTCTTCCTCACCTCTGTAGGTCATGGACATCGCAAAGCTGATGAAGGCCTACATCAGCATGATCGTCAAGAAGCGCTACAGCAACTGTCAGTCCGTCAGCAGCCACGGCAGCCAGTGTAGCGCCTGGTGAAGCGCCGCCCTTTAATCCGTGACCTATGGCCACATGCCGCAGGAGGGCCGAGCGTGGCCGAGCGTGGCCGCAGCTGTCTGTGCATGGACGCCCGTCCTCAGCGCTGTGGAAAGAGCAGCTCGTACATTTGACTCTGTGAATGCTGGAGACAAAAACCGCAATGCTCTTGATGTTAACTAGCTCCAATGATTTCTTTTTGACTGGTTTTGTTCCAAAACACTACACATCCACACCGGACTTAAACTTTAAGGTTTCAACAAAGTTGGAAGTATGGTGGCCTTTGTTGCCAGTAAGCAAAATCCTGAAAACACTAATTATTAATCAATCATCACAAAGCAGACAAGTCAACATGCAGAACCTAAACTGGAATCAAACAAACTACTAGAGTCATGGGACTCCCTGCAATTGAACAGATTAAACCTACAATGCCTGGTAGTTGTCAATGGGGGAAAACATTTAGATAAATTGTTCCCTTAAAGTGTCCCTTACCATTGGATTACTTATTAATAGTTCCCTCAAAATAACAATTAATATCCTCAAATTATTTAATCGTGCTGTCACATTGCTTGATTTGCAACTGATCTTACAGTGAAACAATCCGTTGTACCTTAAAAACATGTAAGAGATGGTTTAATGTAACACAGTGTTGTGTTTAACAGTGAAATTCAGAAGTCAGTTGCACAAAACATCTTAAGTTTTCTTCTAACTTTTAATTTCTCCTTAGCTGAGGGAGTTACTTAAAAGGGTGTTGCACAGAATCTCTTAAAAAGTTTCCTTAGTTGAGAAAAAAAGTTAAGCTGTAAAATTCTTCTGTTTCCATGGAGACTGTTGATTTGCTTCCATTAGCACTTGTGATACCTGTCATCACTTCTGGGAGGCGGGTAACATTAAAGAAAGAGCACTTCTATCTCACCCTCCTGTTTTGACGGGAACTTCACCACGGTGAACTTCCCTGGTCGCTAAGGTCTTTTGTGCAACAATTTAACCGACTTTAAGTGATTGCTGAAGTTTAAGACTAAAATAAGGAGAAGACCTTAAATTCTCAAGTGAAGATTTTAGGGAAACCTTAAGGAGAAAACAAAAGGGTGTTTTGTGCAACTGTTTGTATTTTAAGGAAACCGTAACTCAGACTTAAAGTAAAATCTTAACAAGGTGTTTTGTGCAACCGGCCTCAGAAGCACATCCACTTATCTAAGTCCAAGATTAAAAGAGCACTGGCGACAAGAACAAATAAAACAAAGGTTGTTCATCAACTGATTCAAGGGCACAAACATATTCTACAAAAATAAAGTAAGTAATTAAAGGGTATAAATTATCCCTGAGGGAACAAAGCATATTGACAAAAACGATTCATCCAAACTTTTCCTCCTGGCACCCAAATACAACAAATTCTTTTACAAAAACTTTTCCACTATTTCTCAAACCAAAGAAAATCAGCTGAAGGCTCAACACAACCTTTGTTTCCTCATTTAGGAGTTTACTCCTAAAACGTGGTTGTGTTTTGTTTTGGAATAACTTCATTTCTTCCTGATGCTAACGTGCTACGGCACTACAAGGATGTTGTCGCAGGATCGGGGGTGTTTGTTGCTGAGGTTTTTGTTTGTGTGTGTGTGAGTGTGAGAGAGAGCGAGAGAGACAGACAGTGTTTTCAGAGAGGTGTGTCTACAGGCTGTCTGAATGTGAGAAAAAAAAAAAAAAGCAGAGAAGTTGGTGAAAAGAAACTAAAGCCTTCATGCCTTTTCCTCTCTGCTTTGACAAACTCTGGGACTGGATCGTCTTCTCTCACGTTATCCAGGATGATCTGTTCACTGTAAATAATATGCAGCTGTGCTCGTCTCAAACATTTCAAGTTTGCGATTGATTGTCTTGATTCGTTCGCTGATTAATACGAAGGTCACGCAAGTGCCTGTTTCACTGCAGCAGGACGACCTCCAATGAGATTCTCTCTCGTCGATGCCACTCTTGTTCCTGCGTAACCAGAATCTGAAAGGTGCTCCCACGTTCCCTTCAACTACCCATGTTTTTTGTAGCCTGCAAAATCCGTCCACCTGCGCAAATCATTCAAGCTAGAGTGTGAAAGATACTGAAGGTATACAGCACATTTCAGCATCACCTAAAACACACATTTTGCAGAGAAGAAGAACCTACATCATCATGTACTTCCTAAACAAAATTGAATTTAGCATAAGAGAGGCGGCTCTGAGCCTCTCTTCTGATTGGCTGACTGTTTTCTGAGTGATCCAATAAAAATATAGCAGATTTCAGTTTAACACTCAGAGAAACCAAATCCTGCAAGGTAGGATGGTGGGTCCAGGTGGGCGGGGCTTGGGACGTTCCTGAAAGCAATGGCTGTTTTGTTGTGACATCACAAAGTCCTGACGGCTGGTTTTAAGGCTCAGGTTCTGAATACAGGCTGTGTGCATTTCTCTGTGGACTGAGGCTTTGATACTTTCACAGTATTAATATAGAACCTAGACCTGCTTTATAATCAAACAACAAATGGACATCTACTTTTAGACTATATGGACCTTTAAATACAAAGGCCTGAGACTGATGTGAAAGTCTCCAGTAGAGGTACCACATTCACCAGATTCATGGAAATTTAAATACAGCTGTGATATTTTGGGCTGTTTTAATGTGATGTCACATTTGAACTAATTGTCATTGATGGTGTGCAGGTATTTTTCCTCTTTTCCAATGTTTATATTATCTCTCTGCACCTGCATAGCACTTACAAAAGCCACAAAATATGACAAAAAGACATTTTCACTGAGGTCTTAATATCTCTTACAGTTATTCAAAGTTTTAAGGCATCACATGAATGTCATTTAAAGCAATGCAAACTGATATAATTTAGACATTAGTAGAAATAAATGGTGGATTCTGATGCAGTGACTCAGGTTTTAGTTTGAATGGCTTGTTCAGTTGGACTGTTTGCAGTGTGACATTCCTACTACTTTTCCATTCAGTGTAACATTTCACTGGAGCTCCGCGGGCGGCAGATCCATCCAAAGACGCGTGTGCAGGTTTCTTCTACAGTGCCTTGTTGTATATTGCTGTACACTTAATTTGTTTTCCATGTGTGGTTTCCTTTTTTGGTATACTGTGCAATGTTATATATATATATATATATATATATATATACTATATATACTATATATATATATATATATATA